AAAATAAAATAAACTGTTTGTTGATATCCCAAAGTTGATCTATCGAACTGAACAAAAAAGAAGTGAATGATATGAACAAACTTGAATATTGTGTGCTCGTCTGTTTCGTGCTCACAACTGAATATGGAAGCAAGAGAAGAATGAAAAAATAATATAGGTCACGACTAGTGGCGGCGCCACGGGTGGGCGGGGGTGGGCTGAGCCCACCCAAAAAATTTTTAAGCCCACCCAAAATTTTTTTGAGCACACTAAGAAGCATTTTTAATGCACAAAACTAATGATCTTTTATTCAATGGATGTGGCAACTGTTACATAGTACTTTACTTTACTTCACTTCTCTTCTTTTCTATTATTCATAGATACTCTTGTTCTTTTCTTTATCTGTTGCGCGAATGTATTTTTCGTCTAACCTACTCTTCCTGACTGACGTCTTCGTTGAGTAAGAACTAGTGTCTTGATTCTTTCTATTGTTCATTATCTAAACAGACGAAGGAAGCTTCTTGACTTCTTATTCAGTCTGTCTATTGTCTCTTCTATGTATATATACTTGCTGTTTTCTTCAATAAAGGGATCAGATATACAATTCATTCAAAAGATGATACATAATATATATATATGTAACTGCAACATATCACTATTAAGAAGATTTTTTTTCTAGGTTTTTATTGGCTAACTATTAGAAACGAGTCGAAAAAAGATTTAGCGTAAAACATTCTCTAGTAATGCAGCCTGAAAAACGTAAAACGATCGAATTTTTTTTTTCGTTCGTTTAAAAAAAAACGTGCTCCAATCAACAAGAAATAGAACTCAATATTATTAATTCATCATCATCATCATCTGATTTACAAAATCTTCCTTCATCTTCCGATATTCAAGGCATATCGGATGTTAGTTCCACCGTTCCAACACCATCTCTTGCAACCAATAGTTCTCTGAAAGACGTTTTTCAAGCAACATCAGTTCCAGATGATACCAGTAAATCTTGTAATGATCTTCCTGTTCAGCCAAAACTAGCGGCCTATCCAATTAATCATCAAAACCGATCATTTCAATCAAGTTGGTATAAAGAACGACCGTGGTTGGAGTATTCTGTCAAAGTGGATAGCTGTTATTGCTATTATTGTCGTCACTTTTCTTCTAATAAATTAAATGTCGGTGATGCTTTTATTTCAACAGGTTTTAATAATTGGAAAAGATAGTTGGATAACAATAGTGGTTTGACAAAGCATGCATCATGTCAATCACACATAATTGCAACAAAAAATTATGAATCTTATAGACAACGACGAGAAACCAATTCGAGTGTTATTGATCAATTAGATACTAGTCGACTTATTCATATTCGTAGAAATCGTGATCGTCTTTTAAAAATATGTTCTACGTTAAACTTTTTGTCACGTCAAATGATGAGTTTTAGAGGTCATCGGGAGGATGAAGAGTATGTATATTCAACTTAGTTTAGAAAGAATCAGAGAGCTCTCTATAAAGAATTAATTACACTAAAGTTATAAGGAAAAAAAACTCGCTGTTGAAATTTGAAGAACAAACTAACTCTCAATATTATTTAACCTTTTTTTGGATCCTTTCCATTTGTTTTCTCTATGTTGCAGAAGTTCGAACAAAGGAAACTTTGTGGAATTATTGCATTGGGCAGCACAAACCGATCCACAGTTAAATCTATTTTCGAAGATTCTACAAATCGTGCTACTTACTTAAGTCATGACATTCAAAATGAATTAATTCATCTTATGGGTAATCAAATTCGTGAAGAAATTTCATTGATGGTAAGTCAGAGTTTTAATTATTTGTTGTTATTAAAAGATTATTTGCTACTGTTAGGTAAAGAATTGTAACTACGCATTGATGGCTGATGAGTGTCGAGACATTAGTGGTACACAGAAATTATCTATCGTTATTCGATTTGTTCCAGATCTTAATAATAGTTCAATTGATTTTTCAAGTTTTGTCAAAGAATATTTTCTTGGATTTGTTCCATTAGAAGAATTTGATGCAATAACATTAGCGGAAAATATAGTTGAATTTTTGAAAAATTTAAATATTCCATTAGAATCTTGTATTTGTTTATGTTTTGATGGGTAAATAATTTTCTTTTTTTTTTGATAAATCGACCAATTCCTGAAGAATTTTTATTTCTTCGAATTTTTAGTGCAGCGGTTATGTCGGATCAACAAGCAGGTGTTCATGTTTTATTGAAAAAGTATATGCCAAAGAGCATATATATACATTGCTCAGCTCACCGTCTTAATCTTGTCATTAGTGATACATGCAAGGTGGTGTTTTATATATGGGATTATTTTTCGATTATTGGAAGTATTCATTCATTTTTTACTGACTCTGGAGTGGCGAATAAATATTTCAAACAAGCACAAAAACAACTAGATTTAGGTAATTGTTGTATTGATATTTTTAAACATTGAATTTTTGAATTATTTTTTCAGTCCAATCTTCGAGATTAAAATTATGGGCAGAGACCCTGTGGGATTCCAGATGGAAGGCTATTGATGCTGTTATTGTTAATTATCCTGCAATAATTAAAGCTCTTGATGATATTAGTGAAGAAGGTAGTCGTTCAAGATCAATAAATGCAGCTGGACTTTTAATGCATTTGAAAAAGTCAATATTTATTATTACTTCATTTATTCTTCATCAGTTATTTGGTCTAATAAAAGTTTTAAGTGATCATTTAAAAAGTAAGACCTTTGCTTTTATTCTAGAGCTGTAAAAATTATTATTATCTTTCTTGCACAAGATCCAGCTTTAGATTATGTACGTGGTGAAGAACTTGTCATATCAATTATTCAACAGCTAACTAATCTTCGTAATGAACAATCATTCAATCAAATTTATGATAAAGCAAAAAGCTTATGTGAAGTAAATGAAATTGATTTGGTACAACAATATCATATACATCGTAAAACAAAAATTCCAAGTAGATTTAATGATTGTTTTATTAATTCAACAGTTGGACAACGTGAAACATTATCTACATCAACAGATTTTATGAATCAAATTTATTTTCCTTTAATTGATTCTATGTTAGTTGAATTAAATGATAAATTTTCATTAAAAACATTGTCATTTATGAAGAGTATTGCTACAGTTTATCCCGAGAGTAAAAACTTTTTAAGTATCAATGATGTTGATGAATTTAGTCGCCATATTGATGTTGATTCAAACGCTTTAAAAAATGAATTTATTGTTATAAAAACTATGCTCATGTCTAAAACAATCAATAATGTTATTCAGTTCTTGAATGAATTAATTCCATTCTCAACTGCATTTCCACAAACATTACGGATGATCAAAAGTGCAATTACAATGCCAATTTCACAAGTCACTTGTGAAAGATCGTTCTCGAAGATGAAGATAATCAAGAACTATCTCCGCAATTCAATGTCTGATAAACGCTCAAGTGACTTGACAGTCATGGCTGTTGAACGTAATATTGCTATAGATTATGAACGAATAATAGATAAGTTTGCACGAAATCATAAGAATAGCAGAATTTTATTGTATTAAGTTATCCTATCAGATATTTTTAAAATAAATATTCAAGCTCTTTATACGTTGGTGCGAAGGATATATTTATTGCGGTACAAGAAACATTTCTGATAAATCAAAAATTCTATAAAGCCCTCACTATGCTTTTTACTCTTTTAAAACTGAGAAGGTAGAGCCCACCCTGATAAAAAATCAGAGAGTCTGCGCCCACCCAAGTCTAAATTCCTGGCGCCGCCTCTAGCCACGACAATATCTTTTTTTCTTTTCTTCTCTCGTCCGTAAGTCGTCATTGTTCAGGTTATCATTGATGATTAATGATAATATGACATAATGATTGTATATATCAATTAAGCATTATCCATACACATACATTGAGATATTTGTGATTGAATTTATCTCAATGTACGTGTGTATGTTTGTTGATAGCTTAATTATTATCGTCTTTTCATCACTCTCTGACGAGAAAAAAACACAAAAATTATCGATTTTTAACATATAAATATGAATGATTTTCTATGTAAAATCATTCAATTTATTGAATCAAATATTAATCTTTTCTTTTTATATTTTAGAATGATTTCGACGATACAAAATTATACAATTCAAATCAATACAACACAATAAAAAAATGTAGGTATCAGTCTTTTTTTCTCTATTAGATCATACAGAGGGTGGTAGGTCCTCTTGTGATCTTTTATATTCATGTTTTTCTTTTCCTGTTAAAGACGTCATCATTCAACATCAACGGGTGAGTTAATTTTTTTTTCTTTTTCTTTTCTTCGTTGAGATGAGAATAGTTAGGGTGAGTGAGGTATGTTGAGATTAGGGTTTCGCTTTATAAGAAGGACTTCCGGGTAGTCCCTAAAAGCTCGGCCAGGAACTGTCTTGGTGTTCGTGGCACACGATCGGGCCTCCAGACTCACTGACATATGACATCGGATGGGTGCATGTGGATGATGTGGGTCTTCTCGCGCGTGCATGAGCTTTACGCTCGCCACGGCTCCACCAGGATGGTTCCTGGTCGCGCGCGGGCGAATAGAATAGCTTTCAATTCATTTTTCCATTCAATCACGATTTATTTGAAAGAAAAACAGAACAAAAAAAAATAAAATTCATCATCGTATTGAAGTTCATACGATATTAAATTTTTGTACTCGACTATTCCAGTAATCGACGACATAGAGATTACCATGTTGATCGAATGATAAATTTGTGTGACCCTTGAGTTGATTCAACTGTGCTCCACCACCGTTTCCACCAACAATGACGCTTCCTTGTGTGGCTCCTTTTGGCCAATGCATGATTCGAGAATTCCCAAAATCAGCCACATAGACAGTATCCAATTGATCGACAAGCACTCCTTGAGGCCAACGCAATTGTGTGAGACTATTTCCCTGTCCTTGACCACCGGCTACGACAATGCCTTGTTTTGCACCTTCTTTCCATTTCATTACACGATGATTTTCATAATCAGACACATAAACTGAATGATCTCGATCGACAAATACGTAGTGGGGATAGTAGAGTTGATCGAGACGATTTCCTTGTCCATTGCCACCTGCAACCACTGTTCCTTTAGTGTCACCGATTTTATATCGTCTCACTTCATGTTTTCCAATGTCAACGACATAGAGTGAACCATTGTCGTCCATTGTCAAGCCCCAGCAAGAGATATTTGAAATAATTGTTTCTCCACGAGTACCATTTCGACGAGGCCATCGAACTACTCTGTTATTCCAGGAATCGCTGATGATGAGACTATCGCTCGCTTTGTTGATAATTACATCTGGTGGGTAGTTTAACTGATGAGCTCCATTTCCTTGTCCATTTCCACCAGCAACTACTTTTCCATTCGTTGCACCAGATTTCCATTCCACAATACGGTGATTTCCATAATCAGCGACATAAATCGTTAGATCGTTGTCGACGTACAAACCCCATGGAAGAGAGAGTTGATTGGTTTCACTGCCTAGTTCATTTCCTCCAGCAACAGTGATACCATTCTGTGCCCATTTTGCATTTGGAGAAATATCAGTGGAACTTGCACGTAGTGGTACTGAAATGAAACAAAAGTATGGAGTAGAAATAAACATCGATTTCATTGAAATGAATCATTCTCATTTGTTTTAAACAGTATTGAACTGTTCTCAATTACAAAAGTTTTTTACTTATGAACTTGATTATAATCTGGTTTTTCTCAATGTTGAAAACAAAACATTGTTCATTTTTCTGAAATATTTTGTGTAAGAATCCTTAGTTTGACTAAAACTAACTAAAATTTAACTGGTAATGTGAAAAATTGCGATGAACTCCAATTTTATTGTGAATGAAATTTTCTTTTTTGTCGAATTTTTCCAACATATTTACTGATTTTGTTAGTTCAAGTTTGAAATATATTTAAAAACCATTTCATTTTTTTTTGTTTGGATTTTACAATAAAATGAGTTATAATAGAATTTGAACGTAAGGAAAAACAATTTTGTTATCAGTTGATAGGAAACGGTGTATGATTTATGTTTGTCACACATTTCTGAGTGAAATGAGACAAAATAAATTTGCCACTTTTATATGAATTCGTTAAAAACATCTTGCTAGATAATAACGATAGTTAATTACACTTAACTACCATGCATAAGACGTTTTTGACTGAGTCATATAAAAAAATTACAAATTTTTTGTGTAAGTATTTTTCTTTCTTATCCCATTTACGAATGTGTGACAAATATAAATCATACACCATTCGAAAGTATTTTATGCCATGAATTTTGCATCATACTTATTATTGAGTAATTTATTCCTGAATCTCAAACAAACAAGTAGTTTGTAGAAAGACTAATCGAAGTACTAAATAAGATAAGTTTAGATAAAATAATATGTAAGTTCAAATTTTAGTAGATGAAAAGAACTCAAAAACAAATCTTTCCCAAGTTCAAGAATATTTGAAGAACCTGTCATGTTCATTATTCTGCATTGTAGCACAAACAATAATCTATACACGAATCAATCACATCGTTTATTTTGAATTCATTTCTAATGTATTACAAATTTTCAACTTAATAGGGTATGGGACACGGTTTTTTAAACAATAGCAGTTTCGAACTTTCTAAAATGAAGTATTTTCGCTTCTTTACAAGACAATACGAATCTCCTATGAAAATCTTGATCTAAAATGTTTGCAAGCTTATGTTTTATAGGTTATTCAATAGGTATAAATTTTTGAGGATTCTCACAAAAAAGCAACGATCGTAAAAGATTTCATCATGATTTTAGCTTTTCTCAATAGCAATAAGTGTGAAGATTTCTTCTCTTCAAATTTTTATTGTATCGCATTCTGAACTGGTTAAATCTTAGAAGAAAGTTTTGTTTTGTTTGTCTAGAATTTTCTAAAGATCGATATGGATATTGATTTGAGCTTTAAACTAGAAACAATACTTCTATGATTATATCTTGTATGGACAGTTACGGAACCGATGAAGTTAATAAAAAATGTCATGGAGTTTTATAAACTCCCTAAAAATAATTTAAATAATTTCATCCTTTTTAATTTATCTATGAAGAATCTAGCTATAATTGAAATCTTGATTAAATTTAATACTATTTAATTAATTTTCATTTTTATTATGTGATATCATGTATTTCTAATATGTTAATGTCTCAGTGCAATTGGAAGAAAGTACATTTTAATATTATTTCTTTTCTTGTATCGACAAAAAACAAATACATATAAAACGGTATGAGACCTTTAATTATGTGTCAAACAACTCGAAGATGATAGTCAGAATCAAAACAATACTTTCTGCTTTTTAAATCAAAAAGATTGTGAGACATAAAATTCGAATAGATAATTTTATTTTCTACTTATAGATGATGGCATCGAGCTATATGAAATGCTTATTAATATTATAGATTTATTTCAATTAAATCAAACTTCTCCAAGATCTCTTATACACATGGAAATAATCAGTCTGATCGGCTACTTTGCTTCGTTTTTTTGCACATAAACTTCAGTCTTATTTTAGAACAAGTACAGTCAACATTTGCTCTATATTTGATATTATATAAAATCCTATTCATTATTTTTCATTTTTCTATATTAATAATATAAATAACAATTAGTTTTGATTTTAATTTTTCTACGTTGGTAATGTACATAACAGTTAGTTTTATTGCTTTTATTTTCTATATCAATAATACAAGAATCTTAAAGTTCATTTCTTGTTTTTCTAAATTGGTAGTTTAGAAAATTTTATTTATTATTTTTGATTTTTTATATTGATAATATAGAAAATCTCAATTTTAATTTTTGATATCTCTATAACGATAATATAGAAAATCTTATTTTTGAATTCTTACTGATTTTAATTGATAATATAAATATCAGTTAGTTTTAATTCTTATTTTTCTATATTATCGATATAGAAAAATACAAAATAAAAACTAAGATTTTCTATGTCAACAATATACAAAAAATAGAGAATAAAACAAATTGTTATCTTTGTTACCAATGTAGAAAAATAAAAAATAAAAAGTAAGATTTTCTATGTTATCAATATAGAAAATAAAAAATAAATAAGATTTACTATTTTATCACTACAGAAAAATGAGGAATACAAGTAACCGTTTTGTACTCTATTAATATAGGAGTCTATGGGCTTTTTTATTTCAAACTGAATTCTAAAATCAAAAAAACCGCACCAATTTCTTCCGAATCAAACTTTTCTCGTTTGATACTACGTAGTCCCACTAAAAACCCTTAGGCACCCCTAGTCCTGCAAAGTCCCCCTTAGTCCCCCCCACAAAAGGCTTAGTCCCCGCTTAGTCCCTTGTGCAGGGGACTAAAGCCTATAGTACACAAAGCCACAAGCACACCCTCACCCTCACTCGCGCGCCCACACCCGCACCATGGGTGTGAGTGTGTGTGTGGGTCCCAGACCAACACCCACACCCTCAGTCACTCCCCCCCTCACTCCTAGACTCACGTTTCAGTTTGAAATCAAGTATTATTTTTATTTGATAAATTCAGACTGAAATTAAATAGCCCATAGTATGTAATATAGAAAGGTGAAAAATAAAAATAACCGTTTTCTACACTATTAGTATAGAAAAAGAAGAAAAAAACTGACGTAAACTATTCGAGTCTTTTTCCCAGGTGCTGTTCTTCATCGGAAAGCTGATGGAATCAACTATTCTCGAATAAGGGAAAGAAACAGGACAGACCATACACGATCAGATGCTAATAGGCAAGATCTACATTATGTACTGTGTATGTTTCTTTTTTTGGATCTTATATGATCTGACAAGAAGGATCTAGTCTGTCCAAATCAGTGTCTTAATCTTTGAGTCTTGTAAGATTATTTGTTGACACCGCACAATCAAAATCTGAGAACATCTTGAAAAAAAATGAACATATAAGATATTGTCCGATATTGTAACAAGATCATAGAAAAAACCTTATAGAAGTAAGACCTCATTGGATCTTGCAGGATCTAACATCTGTTTTTTTCGGGGTGGGTGTGAGTGTGGCTATAGATGAATCATTTACCCACCCATCATGATAAGAATTTGAATATATAATTTCACCAATATAAAATCGGAAAATCTAATAAAAAAATTGCTTTTCCATA